CCCCAAAACCCCAAAACCCCAAAACCCCACAGGAATGAAATTAAATTAATAAGAAAATAAAGTTAAATAATAAAATCAAATATAACTATGAATGAGTAATAAATTAATTATAAAGACTTATGTTAATTTCACTGCTCATCAAGTCATTTATCACACTACAAACCCTACTAGCAATGAGCTCCTTAGCTATGGAGTTCGATTTTGATATTAGCAATGATTTAGTTATGGTATTTGAGATTTCAAGGCATGGAGCGAGGAACGGTAAAGGCATGGATCCTTTCTAGACTTAGTGGGATTAAGGAGAGTTGACAAATGTGGGAAGGCGTTAACACTACATAATGGGGCAATAAATCAGATAGCGATATGTTAATCAAGCTAAAATTTTAAGCCCTTACTACTCACCATCTCAAATATACATTAAGACAACGAATGATAATGAAACAATCGAAAGCGCATATTCCTAGCTAATGGGGCTTTACCCATTAGGAAGCAATAAATATCACTTACAGCCGAACACTTCTCAAGAAGCAACCCCATAATTTAATGTCTCAAATGACATTCAGTAAAAGTCAATGGTAGATCTTCAAGACAAAGCTTTACCTTATGATTTTATGCCATTTAAGATCCTTGCTACTTAACCCTTGAATGATGCATTTATGATGACCAAGCAGTGTGAATTCGTAAGGACAGAGATGGAGAACATTAAAAGTTCCCAAGAGATTTTCAATAATTTAGATTCAAAGTATTCCACTACTTTGTATAGTCTAGCAGAATCAATATTTCGAGACCCATCTAATTTTAGATCAAGTGAAGCAGTTAAGTTTATTGATAGTTTGTATGCTAGATACTATGATAAGTAGGAAATGTATGGTTAGTTTACACCTGAGTTGGTTCATGATATGATGGTAATGTACTATGATTATATGAATTAGACTATTACTAAAAATCCCACGGTACTTAAAGCTCTACTCACACAGACCTTTAATAAGATTATCTAAAAGTTTACTAAATAAATTGAAAAAGAAAACGGAAAGAAAATTAGCAAAGCCGACTAGCACAAATTTTTTATGTATATTGATCATGATGATGTGCTCATGCACTTCAGTAATCTATATAATCACATGCTGTTTCATCCAGAAGAAGTAAGATATGTTCCCTATGCTTCGGTTATTCTGCTTGAATTGCATAGATTATCAGATGGAAAGTACTATGTAAATGCAAGTATCAATGGCCAGCCTGTTGCCTAGCCAGGACCTTGCAACGATCAATATTTCTGTGAGATACATTTATTTGAAGACTTAGCTAGATAGTATTCCTATTATGATGACTCTAATGGCTATGAAAAAGTATGCGGCCTTACTCCTGAAAGTAAGTATTAAATAAAGATGTCGGCATGGAACTAAAGCTATTAGTATGCAGCAGGAATATTAAGGAAAAAAGTTAATCCTTATATGAGAATTTTGGAATTGTACGCAGTTCTTATGCTTATCATTATACTTGCTTGGATAATCTATGCTAATCTAAGAGGCAGAGATCATCATCAAAATCCATTTCACCCTTAGGAGCAAAATGTAGAGATGACATGACTATTGGATTTTACTTTGGATAAATTTATAATAGTTTGTTAATGGTGCTAAAAATGTATAGAATTTAGATACTTTATAGTTAGTTTCTAGCTTTTTTATATTTAATTGTTTCAAATACATTATTTTATGGTATTTAAGAATTCAGGGGTTTTGGGGTTTTGGGGTTTTGGGGTTTTGGGG